GTCACTAAATCAAATGTCAGACAATCGTCATGGAGACGCCTCTGTGTATTTGTCATCGTGGCAGAGTACGTGTGTCAACGGCTGGTGGAGACCTGCTTGGTCCCCCACATATCTACTCTGAGATACAAGACGTGTCTAGAATGTTCCATAGAGGATGAATGACCGCATGCGGTGTGGTTCGCAGACAGATGAGCTGCACAGATCTTACTGGTGGTTCTGATGGGGAAGGTGTTCGTGGAGATCAGGCTTCCTTCCAAGACGGTGGGATAATCACTACAGAAATCACTAAGGAAGAATGGCCGTGGACCTGGTCCTCACCTGGACGCACCACCTTTCAGGGACACCTTTTCTCTCATCCTGTCTTGGGCTTTCTCTGCTGAGGAAGTTTCCAAACCTAGATCCCCCCGACAGAGGCCGACCACACCATCCCCCAGATGCAGCCGCGCTAGGCTTCCCTCCCCAGCCGCAGGCCGAGAAGAGACGTCCACGTGGCTATAGCCACAGGAACTCCCCTCTCCCGCCAACCGTGGTGCCAGAGGGTCAGTGCACGGGGTTCAGAGACCAGCTCCAAAATTCAACATTAATGCCGGTGGAGGCTGACTAATGGCTGCCCCAAGACACCAAATCTTAATCCATGAAACCTGCAAATTACCATATTTGGAAAAAGGGTCCCTATTGATGTGATTAAGTTACGGACAGATATGAAGAGGGTGTCCTGAACTATGTCCGTGCGTGGGTCCCACATACCACCACACATGTCCATGGAAGAGAGAGGCTGATGGAGGGAAAGAGGCGGAGACAGACAGACACAGAGCGGGGGTGGGGGGGGCGTGGAAACAGGCAGAGGCGGAAATGACACATCTCCGAGCCAGGGCCCCCTGGGGCCACGGAAGCTGAAGGGTCCTGGAGGGTGCACAGCCCTGCCAACACCTGGTGGCCTCCAGCAGGTCCATTTCCAGGATTTTCTGCAAGCCAGCGAACGTGCCGGCACTGGGTTGCCGCAGCCCCGGGAGACTAACACCGGGCTGCCGTGTCACCGTACAACCCTGTGCGGGCGGGAACCACACTGAGAAATGCAGCCCTGTGCTTCCGTCACCACTCAGCGAAGGCAGACGTCCCCGGACCCACGCGGGCTGCTGATACTGTGATCGGTTCGTTTCTGGATGTCAAGGTGCAGGTTTGCCGACTCTTGGGCTCAGGTGCTCTGCGGTGAAAAACACGAAGAGTCCAATGTCCGTGCACATGAAGAGACCTTGAACACAGGTTATGGGTACACAGGGCTGAGTCTTCCGAGGGTTTATGTTTTAAGAGGGCTTCTTCCCTTCCTGCAGACTCAGGCTCCTGCTTTCAGTGTTCAGAACGTAAAGCTCTTCCTGAAGTCATGACTAGGACGGGGGCAGATCTGGATGTGTTCGCATCCTCCTGTGGGTGGAGACTTCTGATTCGCCCCAGGAGGTTTGCAGAGAGAAGGTAACACTGTGTTTTCTGAGTGCCTGGATCTGTATAATGTGCCAATGTGTTACCATGTCAAGGATGATGATGAAAGCCCGGGTAGCAGGTGATATCTAGGACTTAAGTACATTATGCACTTGAACTTGAACTTGAGGCTTGGTTTTTATCTTCAGTCATTGGACGTCTGCTTCCAGAAGAACGATCCCAGGAATTTGTGCCTCTCTTACTTTGACAACTTCCAGCCAATGGGAGGAAAAGTAAATGCAGGCCAGATGCTCCTTCCTGGGAGGAGGAGACCTGTCTCCCCATAACGCAGGACGTCTGGCAGCAACACTCAGAAGCTCGTTGTCCTGGGCCTGGAGGGGGAGGCTGCACGAGATCCCCATCCGGCCACCAGGCCCTGAGTGGCTCCTGGGAAGCTGATTTCAAATTACAAAACCAGCACATAACGAATGAGATCACTCAGATACACGCAGGAGGCTCCTCAGAAACGAGTGTTTCCCTCGGGCCAAGATGAGTGAGTAAAGGACAGACAGACAGACCTGGAAGGAACCTAACGAAGCGTTGTAACACGCCTCCTGAAGGGCACCCATGAGTGTGGTGCGGAACAGGGAGCGGGTGGGAGCGCCATCCTGACACGCGGGGCAACTGAACACAAGCAGCAGGAACAGCCCGTGCTGGCCACAGCCTCCCGTCCGCCCCAGGCCGCTCGTGCCTCCCTCCGAGGACAGACAGTGTGACCCGCCCGTGAGCGTGGGAATCATGAACGAGCTCCCCTCGTCCGGCACCTCCTGCCTGCACTCTGTCTGGCCTGTGGGTTTAGACCAACAGACGTTCTGTGAAATGACCATCTTTCCTTGCGCGCTGACCGATTTGCACGGTCAAGTCAGCGTTCCTGCGACGAACTCGACAGTCAGTCCCGACGGTGCCACCCGCGTGTACCACTGGCACGAAGATTTCGTAAACACGAAGGCGCGGCCTCTCTAGGGTAGATTCAGGGACAGAAGCAGAGAGACAGAGAGCAGGGAGGGAGGGAGGGGGAAAACTGTCGATCCTGCAGGTTGCTTTGGGAACTTTTCTCCCAAGCAAGACTTAGGGAGGGAACCCTGAAACCCGGAGCCCCAAGGACACACAATAATCAACTGCACATACATGAAACCAAATCTGCTTCACACAGAAGGGACTCTGACCCTGATGTGTGGGCTGCTTCCTCCACTCCCGGGACAGCAGGAGGTGAGCAGGCCGTCCACTCATAATGACACTGGGAAAGGTCCGTGCAGTCTCAGTGGGGCGCTGTGATCCCCACGATGTGCGGGACTCCCCACAAACCAGCGCTAGCCCTCACCCCTTCCCCTGACAAAGGCAGGCCTCCAACGAGACGCTGTCACTACCAAGAGCACAGGAAGGAACAGAACGGCAGGTGGGACAGCAAACCAGGTGCAAAAGCAGGACTGGGGCTGCTTCCTGAGTCAACGCAGATCTCACCCCATGTTTTCCACTGGCCACAGAGGTGATGTGGAAGATCGTGGCTGGACCTACAATCTCATTTCACGACGCACATGGTCGTTGATAGGGCCATTACAATTGGAAATCGACAATTTTCATACTGTGATTTATGGAGTCGTGATTTATAGCCTGAGCCACTTCCCTCCCCACACACTTCTCTGCTTCAGCACACACACCAACCAGCTGGGACCCGAGCTGCAGGAAGGTGGGTCAGGGCTGGGCAGTCGGGGGGCTGTCCAGCAGCCAGTGCCTTTTCTCTCTGCCTGCGTCCGTGTGCAGAGCTGGAGGACCCACGCGTGGACGCCCTGCCAGGGCTGCAGCCGAGCCTCTCCAAGCAGGCATCTGTGTGCAAGTGGGGCACTTTCCACAGCAGAGAGGACACACAGGGAGCCAGGTGTGACGTGGACATCCATGTGTCCTCGGAGGCTCTCCCCACGTGCAGAGGGGTGGAGAAGCAGGATTGTGCACTCTCCCTCCCTGGTCCGGAGGAAGAGGGGCAAGGGAGGGAGGGTCCGAGAGCGGAGGGCAGGGGGATGGGGGCAGGGGGACCCGGCCGGCATGCCTCTCTTTGCGGCTGGTCACTCCTGACCTTGGCCACTGCCTCCCTCTGCCCAGCAGGGCCGCCTCATGGCCCACGGGCCAGACCGTCCCCCTGCCCAGCTCTCCGTGTGGGCGGCTGCCGGAGGGAATTGCTTCAAGGAACGGGAACACGCTGACCTGGCTGGAATTAGCCCAGGATGCCTGGCACTGCCCATCCGTGACCAGGAGATGGTCGCCGGGTGACTATGGTCGGGAGTCAGGCTGTTGCAGCATGCAGACTCGGACAGCGTGTGTGCAGACGGTGGGAAGCCCCTGGGTGGTGGGCACGCCGGTGGCCGCGGGAGGACCTGGATCTGTGGCTTTGCCGGTGGGAGCTGGCGGGATGCTGCCCTCAGGAGGGCCTGGGGTGCTGGGCTGCCCCTGGACACAGGGCTCACTCCCTCACATCTGCTGCAGGCCCCCCAGGGCCAGCCGCACCCTTCGTGACACCCCGGCGGAGCCACCGGTAAGGACCCTTGGCCCCCTCCCACCCGGGTGCGTGGTGGGGTCTCCGTGGGGAGCGGCAAGCAGTGTGGGCCCGGAGGAGGGGTGCTCTGGTGGGGCTGGCTCTGGGAAGGGGTCGTGAGGAGGGGCAGTGGGGCTGGGAACGGAATATCCCACAACAAGGCCGTCACCGAGGCGAACCGCAGGGCTGGGGCCTCCTCTGCCCAGCCGGGCCACGCCCACACTGCTGTGCACAGAGCCGCACCACAAAGTCCGCGGCTCCATGGCATGTCGGGGCCTTTCCTCCCACCCACCAGCACCTCACATTCCTTCCCCAAAGTCACCTTCGAGGGCGGACGGAGCAGTGCTGCAGGATGGCGGGGGGAAAGCCAGCAAGGGCTCCCCAGCAGACTCAGGCCACGGGCGGGGCGGAGGCCAGGCAGAGGTCAGAGGCTGCTGCCCCAAGTAGGGACGCCAAGTGCCCCCTTCTCTCCACTGCGCTAGGAACTGGGGCTACTGGGGCTGTGTCATCCCGATGGAAACCAGTGTGCAAGCTGACACGGACAGACTGTGGAAGAAGGGCTGCACTGAAAATTCCGGGGGCCCTGTGCACGGGACCGGCCTTGGGGCAGTGCTCGGTATCCAGTGCAGTCCCAGGGACCCGCCGCCGTCATCCTGAAATCCTCCATAACTACTGAACACGGGGACGCGTGTTTTCATTTCAGAACAGGCCTCAAAACTTCGGAAGCCACTGCTGTTTCTGGGATCACATCACTTGATTCATTAGCCTATGCTCTTAGGTCTCTCTAGTTTGCGTTAGCTTTTTCAATCTCCTTAACCAAAACGATAGCCCTCAGGGCCTGTCTGGGACCGTAACAACTTCCAAGGTAAAAGTCCCAAGTTCCGTGTGAAAATGGGCAGCAGGGCAAACCCAGGCCTGATCTCCCAGCAGCCAGCCACGGGGGCCCTGCCTGGGCCGGGCACCCTGACGCCTGGCTGTGCGCTTTCTCTCTTGACAGGAGTGAGCCTTGCCGAGGCACGCCAGCCGGGGAAGTCTCCACACTTCAGCGTGAACTGGGTGATGGGCAACGCGGATGTGGAGGTTATCGACGGCACCACTGGGAAGAGGAGCTGCGGGGGCTCGTCACGGCTCTGCAAGCACGTGTTCTCGGCGCGGTGGGCGAGGCTTTATGGAAAGGTACAGCTCCACTCTGGGGGAGGCCGGCCCAGCTGCCCTCGGCTCCCGGCGGGCGGACACAGGGAGGGGCCCCCAGAAAGTCAACACTGGTCTGAGCAAGGGTGACACGCAACACAAAAACACTCCCGCTCTGTTTCCTTCCCCCCGCCGGCGCCCTGCAGACTCGCAACGCGGCCGCTGCGCCCAGGGCCCCGGCCAGCAGCCATGGACTCTGAGCCGTGGCCCTAGAAGTCTTGCAGACAGGGCGCTAGCTGCTGCATGTAGGGAAAGTTCAGAGAAAGCTCCTGACGTGGGTGTTACTCCCAGTTGAGGTACAAGGAAAGCGAGCAGCTTCCCCGGAAAGACGGGGAGCGAATGCCAGGCAGGAGGTCAAAGCTCTTCTCCTGACCCCAAAGCTGTGCATTTCTACTACAGTTCTGAGCTTCCTCCTTGATAAATAAAGATGGTTACTGCATTTCCAGATTTAAGCTGAGATATAGAATTCCACATGTTTCCAAAGCACAGAAGACTGTGGCAGAACCAAACAAACAAAAACAGAGGAATCAGGAAAACATAAACCCATAAAAGCAGCTGTGTGCTCGCTGCTCCCGTACGTCTTTATCAGCAACAACTCCAAACAGAACGGGGCTGTTGGGGTCATGTGTCAACCAGAAGAACAGGACAGACACGCTGACCCTTAAGATCAACATTTCTTTCAACCCAGAGGACCCTGGACGTTGTGTGTGTCGCCCTTTGCGTGGGGCGACTTGTGCGGCTGCCACGAGCCGCCCATGGGACCTGGGTCTGTCCTGAGCACATGGCCTCGGCTGCCTCCCCGCCCACTCGGGCACCATCCACGCTTCCCTCATCTATACACTGCAGGGACCCGAGTCAGAGAACACCACCGATTCTGTCTTCCTAAACAAAAGGGCCCCTTGCACCTGCTCAGGGTGAGGCTGCCAGCACGTGGGCAGGGCCCACCAGGGGATTTGGGCCTCCCGCCCCTGCTCACTGCACCCCTGGCCTCTCCACAGTGCGGTCCCTGCCTGCCCTGGTCTCGGGGCCTTGCCGGGTACTGGCCCAGAAACCCAACAGAGGAGCTGGTCAGTTCACCGGGTTCCTGACTGGTGGCAGGAGAACTCCAACTCCCCCATCTCCCGCCTGCCCGAGGCTGCTTTAGTGCCACAGACGTCCCCGCCACCCCCCAAACCCCCAACCTCAGCCCCGGATCCTCCCCCAAAAGGAAAACTCCGCACAGTGTATTTGTTTAATAGCAGGCAAGTTACACGTGTTTTGTTTGCTGAGCACTCACACTCCTTGCCGAGCAGCCCTGGTACGTCTCAGGGTTGCTGGATGGGGCTCACCCCTTCACTGGGTAAGACTGACACATAACTAACACTGGACAGACTTAGGGCGGGTCACGTGACATCCTGACGCATGCACACTGTGAAGGGACCGCCACAAGCAAGCTAGCTAGCACGCCCATCCACCCAGTCACTGTGCACGGTGAGAACACTTAATTAAGGAAGCTCCTTTGGGGCAAGTTTCACACGTGTTACTCTTTGCCACGTCGCTTTTCCGTTTCACGGTAAGAGAGAAGGGAAGGCGGCCGGGAGCCGTGTTTTGCATGGGGGCCCCAGCATTTCTGTCTGTCCAGCTCACTTGTCTTGTTCCTGCCCCACAGCTGAGCACGCGGATCCCGAGCCACGGAGACACGCCGTCCATGTACTGTGAGGCCAAGCGGGGGGCGGGCACCTACCAGTCTGTCAAACAGCAGCTATTCAAGGCGTTCCAGAAGGCCGGGCTGGGCACCTGGGTGAGGAAGCCGCCCGAGCAAGACCAGTTTCTACTGACTCTCTGAGCCACTGGACTCCCGTGCTCCCAGAGCAGGGTGAACACCCGGACTGGGCAGGGCGTGCGTGCGCGTGCGTGGGGCGGCAGGCGGTGCTCACTGGCTCCCCGCACCCATTTCCCTTTGGTGTTCTGGAAGCACGCACATGGTCAGTGTTCCGTGGGCAACTAGACTCAAAGTAGGAGCTGCTCCCACGTTGTCAGAACCCAGACGCCCCCCAGACCTGAAGGCACAGGCGCGGCCCAACATCTCTCCCTGGTGTGTCCACGGGAAATTTCCATTCAGGCTGAAGGGTCATTGGTGCGGCCTTGCCACGCAGTGCCTCGGGCGCCCCTCCCACCTCCAGCGCTGCGTCGGTTCTCAGTGGCACGATACTTCAGGAAAAGCCACAACGAAAAGAAAAGCCATGGGCTCCTCCCCAAAGAAGCCAACAGGACGCTCTACCAACCCCATTATTCACTTAAGTTTTTATTCCACCTCCTTTCAAAGCGGATCTGAGATGCGCAATATTGAAGAACCCCCTGAACTAGGACCAGAGAAATGAAGACCCTTTGCGCAGCGCGCCGGTGAGCTGAGACGTAGGACAAGGGGCTCCAGGACCGAGTGCTGCCGACCACTGCAAACTGCCGCACCCGTCCCAGGCCCAGCGCAGGCTCCGCGGCAGGTGCCCACGGCCACTGACCACGTCTGTGGCAGATGCATCCAAGGTTAGTGACCACCTGCACCTCCTCACCAGGTAACAAGGAAACAAGTCCCAGACCACGCCCTGTTTAGCTAAGTTTGCGTCAGAGAGCAAGCCCAAAGAACATCCACAAATCCACAACCTCTCCTTGGGGCTGAGGAGCTACCAGATCTCCACTGCTTTAGGTTCAGATCTCCACTGCTTTAGGTTCCCTGGTCTCCATCTTGCATGATTGAAACAAATCACTCACAGCAGCTGCTGAGACGCAAGAGGCCGGATTCTGTCCCCTTCAGAGCAGGTGTCAGACACCCAGACCATTTGGGATCCAGCCCCTGGCACCCTCTCTAAGAGGACGGTGGGGCCGCATGGCCGAGCGTGGGAGGGGCAGGCACCCTCTCACAAGCCTTCAGTCTGTCCTGGTACCTTGAACTGTGCACTCTGACCACCAAGAACTCATCTCTAACACCCATCATGCTACTGACGGGCCTCTAATTTCTCTTGCAAAAGATCCACGTCTGAAACTCACTGGGCCACATGGCCACGCTTCGGAGAGCCCGCTCTGGGGTAAGGGCTTTCTGGTGAGACTTTCAGCCGCCAGCCGTGGGTGCACACCCTGACGAGAACACGGGACTACACACAGCCCAAGACGCAGGAGCATGACATCGAGCCGCACACATTCAAGGAGAGATTGCAGGTATGATAAGGAGGCAAAAATGAGCCAACATGAGTTTTAGATATTTGTTGTGGGACAAGAAGTAGAGGTGTTACTATGGAAACCAACTATTCTTGGGACTTCCTATAGGGTCAGATTTCTCCACAGACACAAGGTCGGTTCCCACTGGAACTGCTCCCGTTCTGAGCCCCTGCTTCTGTCCCTGCACTCCAAACAATGCCCCTTCCAGAGCGAGGAGACAGCATTAGCAGCGGCCGCCCCAGGACAGAGGCAGATGGGCCCATCCACACAAAGCACCGCAGGACCACCCGGACAACCGGACCGCAGGGACTTGGACGGCACCACCTACCCGATATCGGACACTCCCGTGATGCCTCAGCTGCAGCTACTTGGTCACTGTTCATCTCGCCTGAGGCACTGGCCCTCCAGAAAAACCTAAACTCCACCAAAATATCTACTTCTGGAGAAAGTGTAGGGACTCGTCTGTTCGGTCAGCGGGGACATCCTGGAAGGAGAGGCGAAGGCTCGGCGCAGGAGCTTTGTCGCAAGAGGGCGTTTCCAAGGCAGCAGAAAGCGCATCTGAGAGGCTGAGCTTGGCGGGAGCTGCCTGTCCAGGAGCGGGGATGGAGAGGCACAAGGGACAGGGAAGGCGGCACGGCAGGGCTGGGTCACCAACAGGAGGCCAGGTCACCGGGCTCAGATGTGGCACCTGCCGTGGCTGGGGGGACAGGTGGTGCCGGCCCAGAGACGAGGTCACAGGGGAGCCTGAGGATCTACTCTGGGCTTCAAAGCCCAAAAGAGCACCCAACGCTGCTGGAGGCCAGGCCAACGCTGCTGGAGGCCAGGCCAACCCTGCATTTTCAGGGTGGTCTGAGACCTGGGAGGAGCCCACAGGAGAACTCATAGGAGAGCGCAACTCGGCATGTGACCGTGGGACCACCTCCTGGCGCCCGAAGGCAACAGAGGAAAACCCACAGAGCCGAGGCAGGGGCCTGCTGGTGCCTGTCCGCACATGCGTCAGATGCGGTGGCTCTGAGTCCTTAGTCTTCCCATGTCCTGTGCCATGTCTGCACGTCAACCCAGCCCCACTACTCAAGTCCAGATCAGGTCGACTCCACCAGTACCTGCCTCGAAGCCCACACTGCCTTCCCTGCGGGGAGGTCAGCCGTGCACGGCCTCCCGCCTGGCTCTGGCCACAAGGTCAGCGTCCGCAAGCCCTTCCACAGCACGCAGCCCGAGGGGGAAGGTCACCGGCCGTGGAGCTCCACCTGCCCGTGCCTAGCACGCGGTTCCATTGCAAGGGACTGGAGCCAGGGCTTCTTTGGTTTTGGTTTCTGCCCAGGAAAGGATTTGCAGGTCTCTAACTATTGTTCCTTTTTATACCTGTGGGTCTCTTCAAGTCTGTATATACCTTCACGTCACTACTGATTTTGTGAGTCTTGCTGTTCCTTGGAAACGTCAAGTTGAGTTTCTCCCACATAATTTCTCATATAATTTCCTTTTCACAGGAAGCTGTTCTTATCAATAAAGTTAAATGGTTGTTTTGAGGGTTTTGGGTTTTTTTTGGTATAGCGTTTACCACGTCTGGAGAGCCATAAACAGTAAATACATGGTATATCGATGCCCAGAATAGAATAGTTAGAGTATTTTGATGAAATGCTATTTTTAGATTATAAATTTCAAGATGTGTCTATAGTATCTTGTTTTAAAAAATTTAAAAAGACATTTGAAACTTAGACATTTTTAATTTAGGGAAACTTCTACAACCATTTTTTAAGCCATTCTAATGAAATCATCTAATTGGCCCAAAACACAATAAATATTCCTTCCTAATAAAGACCAAAGGGAAGTCAGGACCACCACCTCTGTTGACAGAAGTTTCCACTAACACTCAGCAGCCTTTGCTGGCTCGTCCAGCACCTTCCCTGGTGGGGGTTGCGGAGCCGTAACCCCCGGGGTCAGGAAGGGCCACTGCCCGACACACTTGCAAAGGCTGTCCCAGCTTCAAGTTCTTGCGGAGCTCATGGACAGAGTGAAAGATTTAAAGCTCTGTGTTTCAGGAAAGGCTTACAATACCACCATCCGGTGGCACTTAGCGGGGACAAGCCGGAGGGTCTGGGGTCCCGCTGGGGTTCCGCGCCCTCCCAGGCACAGGGCCTCCTGTGTGGGAGTGGGGCCAGAACTGGGGTGCGCTTGCCACTGTCCACGGTCCTGCCCAAAGAGCTGTGTTGGCCATGCAGGGAGTTTGCTGGCTCCTGTCAAACGTCTCCCACAGATTCTGAGTCAGATAAGGGGTTTGGGGGGGATGAAGAAGCAGAGACAGATGCAAAACATGCAGGTTGTTGGAGAGGTGGCCTGGAGCAGGGGGGCACCTCTCAGTTCTGGGAACCAGGAGATAGATACGCGACCCATCACCACCATTGCTTACCTCCCAACAGGGCTGCCTCTGGTTTTCCCCGTCATCTTCCTCTCCCTCCCCTTCCTCTTCCCTGTTTGAGTGCCTGTTCCTCCCTGCCCTACACCTGTGATTCCCCGGTGCAGTCGAGAATCAGTCTCAGGACTGTGTACCCCTGAGCTCTGCCGCGCTGACCTCGAGGGTTCTTGTGACTTCCGGGCCAGGGGGATTTACCAGAGTCCTTTTTTGGACCCCTGGAACATGTCCATTAGTCTGAGCTCCCAACAAAGGGACACTGATGGCCAGGTCTCCAGAAAGTCAGAACAAACAACAGCACTCCTGCAGGGGACTGCAGACAGTGTCAGCCCCTGGAGAAAGAAATACCTTATTTCCCAGCTCATCGTTGCAAAATCAGACTTGCAGGGATGATAAAGATACAATGATCGGGATTCCACGGCCTCGTTTCACGCCGGCACTGGATTTCTACCACTCTGCAGGATACGCATCAATAAAAAACAAACAAAAAACACACTTTCCCAGCAGTGCCCAGTTAGTTTTCAACTAATTTTCAGCATTTTTTAAGCAAATGAACTTAATATATAATAATTCTTAAGCAAAGATATGTACATAAAAAGCATGAATGAATGGCAATATTGGATGTACATTTGTAATATTTGTAAAAAAAAATCCAAAACCTTAAAGTAGTAATTTACATGTTAATTTCCCTCTAAGTTCTGTAAATCGCACTTCAGTGGTATCTGATAAGTGAATGTTTCTGTTAAGTGAATAAAAACATGGAGTAAAATTGTGCTTCCCTGGCTTGTTGGGCATCTTTCATCAAGCAGGGCCCTGGGGGTTCTCTGAATGCCACGTGTAGGTGTAGGGAGAGTTCCAAGAGGGCGCGCCCACTGCAAAGAAATGTCATGTCCACTCCAAAATTTTCTTCCTCCTACGATTACATGCATCAGCAGGCTCAGCAGGGTGAATAGCTACCCTTATGGCTCTCACGTCAACCAATAACCTGACTGTGGAGGGTGGGGACAACTGTCAGCCCCTGCCTCTAGGAGCCGCTAGCGGACTCCACGGACTCAGAGGGTGACGGTGCTTTGAAAGGTTAATGCACTACAAATATTGAAGATGTTCTGAGTCCCCCTCCCAAATTTGCCCTAGCATGTGAAATATAGGCATGGCTGACAGTCTCCTTGTGGAATACTAAGCCGGATGGATTCGGACCTAAAACATCACTCAGGCTGTTTACGGCCTCGGCCCTACAGGAATCTGCATGGGCTCAACATTGCAGAGCCCACCTGAGCATTCTGTCCCTTTCAAGGGCTGCCCATTCCACCTGCCCCACCAGGCATGGAGCAGAACTGCCAGTATGTTGGACACAGCACCGGCAGGCTACAGTCCAAGTGACCACAGACAACACTGCTTGTTTGAAAGTGTTCCTCTCATCCACCTGCTTTTGGGCCGGGGCGCGGGGGCGTCTTACATCCTGTTCAGTCTGCCCTTACTTCCCACGAACCACAGGGAGGTTCCACTCCAGGGAGGACACAGCAGACCTCAGGTCTGCGGACCCCCCAGGGCTGTTCCAACACATTCCCTCACCCTTGGGTTAGGGCAGGGGAGTCTTGCAGTAAGTTACCCCCAACAGAGACGAGAGTTGGGGCCATAGTTACCAGGAAGGAAGACAGCAGGCCTGAGCATAAGGAAGGTTCAAGACAAGTCACAAATGCATCAGAGCGTAATGTGTCCCACACGTTCTGAGTTTGGGAGTCTGGATGTCTGGTGGCAGGGACCGTTCACTGGTCTTGGCGTGTCCCAGAAGGGACTCTCGGCCAGTACCCAATGCGCACTCTCACTCCTGGAGGACACCCTCCTGCCAGAGAAGGGCCGCTTGCCTTGGAAATGAATCGTCTGGTCCTTGGTAATCTCCTCGAACCTGATGGTCCTGTGAGTCTACCCAAATCATTTTCCAAGCCATCCAACTCCCAGCTGCCCTAGCCTGATGGCAGCTCTCTTCTGTAGCCATTTTTCTTTCTTGGTAAGAATTTCTTTTATAAAACATGAAGTTTATGATATATTGTCTCAGGAAACACTAAGTGCGTGTTTCCCAAGTAAAGTAACTAGAAGCTATTCTGATTCTTAAAATGTGACGGGTATGCATGACGTCTGAGGAGCAAAGGGACTGGACAAGCGCTATGATCCTTCACACCTGTGTCCACGCCAGAGTGACTCACGTAGGTTCCTTCAGCTGGGGTTAATTTGGTGACAGAAATGCACTCTCCCAAGTGAGTTTCATCCACAGAGATGGAGGGTGAACAGGACAGGAGAACAAGAGGGGCCTTGATGAAGGCCTACCCCATCCGATAGCCTCTCCGATTTGGAATTGGCTGCACGAGCCTGGGGCACAGCTTGCCGGGGCTGTAGGTCCTCCACGGGCTCAGGTACAGCTGTGCTACAGAGCGTTTTGAACCACTGTGCATGCTCACTTTGCAGAATGACATGAATCAGCTCTTCAGACCCGGATTGGGCGGGGGGGGGGACCAGAATGGAGCACGGAGACTCCTTCAAGCCAGAGGACTGGACTTCTCACCCTTGCACCTGTGGGGTCCAGCCACTGCAGCCTGAGGTCCCTGCTGCTCAGCCTTTGACAAAGCAGGTCTCGTTACTTTCAGTTTGGGTCACCCGAAATGGCTCATTTTAAGATAAATGGCAATGTACCCCCCAATATCAAATAACAGCTGGTGGCGAGGACAGCAGGTCAGCCGAACCAGCCAGGAGGGGTGGAGGCAGAGAGGGGCGGTAGCTCTGGTGGTTCACAGTGTGGGCCTCTCCCCACCTCCCCAAGTGTGCTGACCACTTGCACACTTGGATATGTGCACACTTGGATGAGGAAGACATCCATTATCTTTTAGACACCAAATGCAGCCCCCCAGGAGACCAAACCCCCAGAATTCATGTGCTCTAATAATGCTCAGCTGCTTTACACCCTCATGCACTGGACATTCCTGTGTCTCTGCTCATGCTATTCTTCGCACCATTTCAGTTGGAGTTCTCCGAAAAACAGCCAGTACGATGTGTGCATACAGAGAGAGGCTCACTCTAAGGAACTGGCTCAGGAGATTTTAAGAGGAGAGCCCCATGCACAAGCTTCAGGCAGCGAACCTGAGATCCACCTGGTGTGGAGAGAACCTACAGACTAGTGAGTGAAGACAAAGGCTCACCTGGTTGGTCAGGGGAAGGGTTGGAAGTTCAAAACTGGGACAAACAGGTCTGGGAGAAAGACAAGTGAGTGGGCTTCTGAGGTGGACACTAAGTGACTCTCCTGACCAGTGCCAGCTGGACAGTGTCCACTGCAGTGGACGACGCAACCGGGGAATTTCAGCCAACTGCTGCCTGCCAGCACCGCAGGGCCCACACAGTCGGCTCAT